AGCTGGAGTCCCTATTGCATCATGACATGAGTGGAAAAGATTAGGATGATTTCCAAAATTCAAACACTGGTGTGTGCAGACAGAAACGCACACAGCATTTTATGCGCACATATTTTTTGTTTCTCTCAATAACCATCTCGCTAGTTTATCGCATTGCTGAATAGGTGTCAGGAGCTTTTGAACGTCTGAGTCTGATGACTCATCATGCCTGGTATTCATCACAGTGTAATGGTTGGAGCCGTCTGAGGTTAATAGCTTCTTTCATCCAATTTACCTTTCTTTGAAAAACAAGCCAAAGTTACAGAATAATATTTTCTTTTCCTGGGATATTTTCCACAATATGTGGATTTGAAAAAAACTAACAATAATCGCTTTCTGTTGCAGAGAAATTGCACTTTACAGAATGGCGTTATAAACAAGGCTGAAAGCTCATTGTGCACTTTTTCGACAGCTTAAGCAATGTGTCTTTCACAATTACAGTGTTCTTATCAAATTAACACACCAGTTTGTGTTCGTTTCACACCACTGTATCAAAAGGAAGCAGCTTTGAGTGATGTCATGCACCACGCAAACAAAATAAAACACTCAAAGCTCTCATCTGGGCTTGTGACAGAGAAGTAAGCTATAAATTACCTTGTGGCCCCGGCTCAATACGTCATCTGTGGTTGGTTAGCAAATGCAGAGATCTATTGCATCTATTTCCTGCAGCCTACTCGGCCTGGACACTGTGGGTTTATATCATTGTTACACATGGGTTTCAATGACACTGTAGTTTTTGTTCCATTTCCACTGGGCTCACAGAACATCATCCGCAGGGATCAGAGACATAGGAAGACAAAAGTATAATAGTCAGGGACGCAGGGTCTGTTTGAGTGATGAGTTTTACACTGAGCTTGTGTTGGTTCTGTTCACTATTCACTTTCAAGGAAATTCACATGAACAACACTCACATGTGTGATGGCTACTAGATATGGACAATATGTCAACTTCCTTAATCTGTCGCACAACATGAGTGCACTCCAGTGGTGATATGTGAGACTACACTTTGTCACAGAAACTCATTGGGAGATTTGGTGTTTGACATTGACATAATCCTCCTGTGCTGAGTGCCAGTCACTCATTCAGTCACTCCAGTAACAAAAACAGTGAAACTCCACCGAAAACATTTCACTTAGATTCACTTTCATTGTTCCTTTTATGAGTTTCGTTGTTGTTGTGACTGCATATTTTGGTAAATAACAAGTTGAAAAAATACCACCTTAAAAAGAAAGGTGGTTTAAGAACATCCTTTTATTCTTCTTCATATTAAATTACTTCTTGAATGATGTGTTCAACATTGTTTCTCAGAAAATTATCTGTGGATCTTAATAAAAAACATCAGACATGTTAAGATGACTTAAATTCACGAGTTTGTGCAAACTGGTGTGGATCCAGATCTAGTGAATTTAAATGTGGGCCGTTGGGCCTTGGTGGAGGTATGTGATGTAGTGAGTGACAATCTAGCTGGGATGTTTCTCTGACATACGGAGAAGGAGACAGAGATAAGTGGCCCTGTGGATAAGAAAACAATAACTTCTCTGCACTCAAAGGTGGAGGGGTCGTCCTACAGGTCCATGAAGTCTCTGGGGATACAAAAATAGAAGTGCCCTTCTGTTTGTTATGGCGATGACAGATGGAGATTTCCCACTCCAGTCCTGCAGTTGGCGACATACTGACTCGGTGTATGGTTGTAATCTTTGAAATGCAGAGGAAAAATGAGAGAACACCAAAACCAGGAAGCTTCAAACGTCATGTGCGATTATTGGGCTGTTGATCCAAAGTAAACTCACACCATGAGGCGGGGTTTCGAGTTATTTGGATGTAGCTGAGTGTTGGGGTATTGAACTATTGGAGCATCGTGAACTGATCGGATCTAGCAGACGGTATCAACTACGAATTTCCACTAAATCCAGAGGCTTCATGTCTTCCTGGAGCAGCAGTGTTGTGTTTTCAACACAACATGGCGGCTATCATCGGCCCTCTTTAGCCGATGTATCAGCGAACATTGGCCGCAGAGAGATGGGTCTGGTGTGGGTGTGAGACGCTGGGACGATGGACGATGTCGTCTGTCTCAGCTCAGAGGACTCGGATGTAGAGATCGTCGGCTCCACGTTCTCGACCGGGCCGCCGCCCCTCTCCTCTGACGTCACCGTCTTGCCGGTAAAAAAACAACAACTTCTCCTTCCGTCACCATAGCAACAGCTCCTCCTCTATACAACCCTCTCTATATACAGTCTGCGATACAACCTCAGTTCACTCGCACGCGACGGTTACAACCTGCTCTCTAGCGCCCTCCTCAGTCAGGTGAATTCACTGTTGATATAAAACACGACGGTATTTCCAATTGTACAGTTTTTACCATTGTATATTTCAATAAGCGTTTTTTCCGTAGTTATCCCCGTAACAGTTATGCTAGCTGAATGCTAGCCACGTCTACTTGTTCTGTTACAACGTCCGTGCTGCTAATTGTAATGTTATTATT